TTATTAAGTTAGGATAAATTATTTTTTGAGCAATGAATATTATACATGCTACAGTATAAGATTAATTATTATGAAATGCCTTTATGAAAATTGTTATTAGTAATAATAGTGCTTTCCATTGTTTTAAGTCATACCATGACAATTGCAATATTTATTAAATAAAGTTTGTATGTAGACTATTTGTATGTCTAACGTTTATTGGTCACTGACACCTCAATAAAAATTAAAAATTATTATCCCTATTTTAATTGACAGTTTAGTTAACCACAATATGTACCAGTATCTTGGTTTATTAATATAATATATAATACAGGTACAGTACTAGTAAGATTAAATTAATAATACTTTTCAAACAAGTATAAGAATTGATAATATGTTCACAGTAGGGTTACTGACTTATAAACCATTGACTTGAAAAAACAACAAAATAAACAGTGACACTTATGATATTGTCATCAAAAACCTTGAAATGAAGACTTTTAGTGCAAGGTGTCATGCAAACAAATACACTTTGAATACTTTTGAATACTCATGATAAGTTATGTATAAATAGGTGAACACTTTATTGTATTTCTCGGTTATATATAAATTCAACAATATTTTTAAATGTAATAAAATAAGTTATAAAACAGTAAACTATGGGAACAAAAACCTATAAACAAGTCTATAATGAATGCTTGAAAACTGATTTTAAAACCTTAAAACCTATGGACTGTTGCCATAGACTGGATACGATTCCGGAAGAGACGGTGGAAGAACTTCAAGAATATAATAGAATCGGTGCTACCGTTCCCTACATTGAATACTGGCCTACCATTGAGTCAATATTTAACAAAATTTTAAAGGTACAACTTTTAATGTTATTTTTGAAATTATTATTTTAACTATTTTTTATTACATTGTAGATTAATACAAAGTTGATATCAAAGTACTGTTTCAATGCCTGTTTTGTAAAATAAGTTTTAATTATTTACTTTGATAATTAGTAATTATTTTTTTAATCAGTAAATGATTTAACACTATATTATGATTTATATTTTTATTTTATGTGAACAATATTTATAATATTATTATTCTCATTTTGGAAATAAATAAAATTGCTATGCTATATTAAATTACATTTAATAACAATTCATTAAATTGTGTTCATTAGACTATTTTATGAATATAACATTAGCAATATACTTTCTCATAATTTGTAAAATATTTGCCTAATCCATAATTTCAAACAATCGAGTGATTTATGAATTGTGGAAAAAAGTGTTTATAAAAAGGGTTCAAATAAGCGATAAATTTGATGCAAATTATGATGGATTTGAAAGTTTCATGATTTCAGGCATAAAACAAGATTTGTTTGAATTGAGGAAAAGAGTGAAAATTTTGTGAAACAGTTATTCTCGAGTGAAGTGCAGTTTGGATTGCATTCACAGACTGATGGTTAGTATTGAGAGTCACATCGAAATGCGTGAATTTGGTCCACAAAACAGTGAATTGAATTCAAAAACAAAGAGATGGATAACAAAAGGACCAAACATTTAGCTATCATTGCTGTCATTGTCGTTATAACATAAACTCACAACTCATAAGAAGTGTGTCTCGCAATCCACACATTTAATCCCAAAATGAGTTAAATTGCATTTAATTGTTGATACAATTGAATTATATGTACAATTCTGTATAAGTTTAAATAAATGTGATTTAAACTTTTAAAATGACAATTTACAATTTTGCACTTGTTGTCCATCTATGATTCACAACTGATCCTGATTACTTTTAAAATGTTTAAATAAAAAATAACTTGTATTTAAATTTTTATTTAACTTATTATTACATTATACAATATACATTTATATAAGTTATATAATATAACATACATTTTTGATTAAACTTATGAAAACAAAACTTGTAATTTTGTTGTAGTTGTAAAACTAACAAGGTGATATCTATTGCATAATGACCTGGTTAACCATCATTCATATGACAGAGGATAACGTTGCAGAAGATGACGTTGTTGTCGCCGATGAGCAGCACCTGGAGCTCGAAATCGCCGGACGGATACCGGTCTCCGATCTTGAGCGTATCGCTGAACACCGCCTCTTCGCCGTACTTTATGGGACAAGTGGTCGCCTTACAGCCGTCGCGCTGGAAGCCGGGTATCTCATGGGACAGGTCTATCTCCTCTTTGCCCACGTGGGCGATCAAGGTGATTTGCGCTTTCTCCACGCTGTACTCTGTGCAGTTTCATTATACAATAACAAATTTGTTTTTATTGTTAGCATGGTTGTTTTGTTTGTTTTAATTGTTTTATGCTTAACTTTGAAAATAGTTTAAAATAGTTAATAATAATATAATATACTGGTATTATAATAAAGTATAAAAATACATTTACTATGACTATGAGCAATATGAGTCTTATAAGTTATGTATCAAATTGTTATCTATATTAATTAAACTAGTATTAATATCGTATATTAAGATTTACATTTTTTAGTTAAACCTTTACCGATGTTTTAAAATATTACTAAATTAGAAACTTTGTAATGCAAAATTATATATGGGTAATTTATTTTTAACCTGATATATAAAATGTACTTGCTTACCCGAATCATAAGTTATATTTAAGATTTTTTCACCGCCACGATCTAAGGTGCATCGTTGGGCCGCTCGGGGACAGCCTACTATTTCTACGTTGGTCACATCGTGATAGCCTATAAAATTATCCAGATTATAGTGTAAATGAAAACTTAAATTAACATTTAATATATAATTATATTAATAAGCTTGTTAGGATGTAATATATTTATAATACATACCGCAATCCCTATATGGGTTAATGTCAACTTGCGAGTACACGGTGACAGCTATTGTCAACAAAACTGCGAGGTGGCTTAATTTGAACATGGTGATATATATATATATTTCTATAATATACTTATGGCTCTAAAACCCTTTCCATTTCTCTATTTATACAATTTTTTAAAGTGCAATCAATTGTGAAATACGTGATCAAAATCTGGCTAACCATTGATAAATTTGAAGGATTTTTAAGTGGGTCAGTTGCACTACATTACAGTATCTATGCCCTAATCTTAATCCTTTATAAGAAAAGACACCTGTTTCAATTAGATTATTGTATTTCTTATATTTATTTTCAATTCTAAAATGCACAGGGATGTTATTAAAGTACCGGCGCAAGTACTGTACTATTTATTTAATCCCCTACTTTACAGTATCTTAAATATAATAGTTCATTAAAAGTTTGTTTGATATATAATATACAGTTACATAACAATATTTTTCAAATTAACAAATTCTTCAAATACTAGTAAACAAACATAACACTGTAATCTATATAACTTCATATAAATTTTATAATCTAGCATAATTTGTTTAACACAATTGTTTTTCAAATCGTGTTATATTAAATGCATTTATGATTAGAACCAAATCTGGAATTTATTTTTAGTAGCTTAAATAAAATATGCAAAAAATTGTAAATATATGGTAATTTAATAATTTATATTTATTTTCAAAAATAAATAGTAATATTACATGGTTTAAAATAAGTTAGTTAGTGCCAGACTTGTACTGAATATTTCCCAACATCCCTGTGTACAGTATTATCACCCGGATTCATAATAATTCGTGCTTTCAGTGCACCACTTCAGTATTATCATAAATATTAAATAACAACCTTGCGCAAATGTTGCCAAATTGAAAAGCGTTCGCAACTGGTAATACATTTATTAGTATTGAATGTTTACACAACCTAATAGTAAAACAATGTTTAGTATTTTAAATACAAATACAATCTACAGTATTTGGATTTAGTAATTGAAATGAGTTTCATAGCCTTGTTAATTATTTTCAAATTATTTTGCAGAATTTATTTTAAAAATTAATTTAACTTTCACTCAAATTACTAATTCTTATTCATTGTAACTTACTGTGAAACATATCAGGGGTCGTTCACAAATCTATGTTGGGGAGTGGTGTATGTTCACAAAGTACCAGCATATGTTTCATAGACTATTTATTATTGGGTATATACTGTGTGAACGACCCCTTTAATAAATGGATAAGATATGTGTTCAGTTCCAATGTTCTAAACAACTTTGTGCAAGTTATGTCATTATTGATATAAAGTTCAAATTAAAGAGCTAGCAACAATATTTCGCAACATTTTAAATGAGAATCACATTTAAACAATATTTCAAAATGTACACTTCAATTTATACCTTACAATAATATAATTGTAAAATTAGTTATCATTTAAATGTAGATTATCAGTGGAAAATTAGAACCAGTTGAATATTACAATACATGTGCTTTAATTACACATTGTACACATACAGTAGTGGACAAGCGAAAGTGTAGCTGGTTTTTCTTTGATAATTTCTAAACGGATTATCGTATCTAAGATCTGACTTCAGAATCTTAATCCCAGATAAATGACAGTTCTTTCGGTATATAAGATCAAAATTTTATGTTATCAGGTT